CAACAATATTGCCCCCCTTTAGCTCCACCAACTTTTTTACATGTCCCGATTACTTATCAATGGGAGTTCAGGTGAATGTAATGTCAGTACATATTTCCATGGTGTAGTTACTATCAGTAGTTCACTGAGACAACTCAAATGTGCATCCAGAATACTAACACTTCCATAGTATATCTTGACAAGTTTTTTTGCCACAAAAACATTAGGAAGACAGCTCGTAAAGCATTTAATACCATTTATCCACCATTGAGGAGAACCCTTGTCAATATGTATACAGTAAATGTTGTGGGGTCTATAAATAAATTTCAATAAATTGAGTGCTTGTAGGAAACGATTTTTCTGATAATATATTAACATCTCGTATGCAATGGGGAAGTCAATTTCATCTGGAGAAATGTAAAAGTTGTTGTCAAAGTCATCTTGTACAAAGCTACAGTCCATATATGTCTCAATTACTTCAGCATCAAATGGTAACTCAAGTTTTTCCATTGCATTTCTGACACGTTGTCTCTCTAAATGTTGTCCATCAAATAATTTATCACAGGATGGATTTAGTGTAGGCTGCAGGTTACGGAAAAAAGGTTTCGGAGTTGGATAATACTTTGGCTTCCTACAAATTAAATCCTGCTTGGTGGTATTGTATAAAAATGGTGATCTACAGCTTGAATTTGTTATTACAAATCTACGAGTGTCATTTGTTATTCTAGAAGATATAAATGCTACTCCAACAATTACACTTATTAGTACCAAAAATAAAGATCTAACATAAAATTATATAAATATAACTGACAAAATTGCAAGTAAAACTGACCTTGTGAAGTAGTAAAAAACATCGCAAGAATAATTATAATGGTCACAATAAGGATAAAAGTACAAAACACAACTGGCTACTGAAATAAGAATTAAGACAAAAGAGAACAAAGAAACTGAGAGTTAGAGAAGCACGAAGAATAGGGCAGAGGTGAGGGGTCCGTAACGAGGCAAAACTTGAAAGTGTGCTCATAGTAGTGTTGTTTTAGTTAACTATAACTAAAACTAAAACCACTTTTAGTTAGGCATATTTACTTTTAGTTAACTAACTATAACTAACTAAAAACATTTATAGAACACAGAACTAACTATAACTAACTAAAAGCAATTCAGAAATTTCATAACTAACTATAACTAACTAAAAGTGCAAAATGTAATATAAAAACAACACTAGCTCATAGACCCTTTATATAATGTGTGAGGCTCAAAACTGAGATTCCAATTAAGCTAGTTGACTCCCCAAAGACTCCAGTTAGTATCGCTGTCCAGACCCGGATCCAAAACTTTCTCCTATAGATTTCATAGGAAAAAGCCCAACATACACTGAGCAACTTTGTTGCTGGCAACATTAAGTATAAAGGCCTTCATACACGAGGCAACATGTTGCTAGCAACATTTGTGGTTACTTTGATCTTGTAAGCAACATGTTGCCAGAAATAGAAAGATGCTCTATTTTTGGCAACATGTTGCTTGGTTGCCAGCAACAAGTTGCCTCGTGTACGAAGGCCTTAAAGCCCTCCATACACCAGGCAACATATTGCTAGCAACATTTGTGGTTTCTTTCATCTTTTGAGCAACTTATTGCAAAAATAGAACTGATTTCTATTTTTAGCAACATGCTGCTTACAAGATCAAAGTAACCACAAATGTTGCTAGCAACATTTTGCCTGGTGTATGCCTGGCTTTAGATCCACTACTCTCTCTATGGCACTGTCAACGTGGGCCCACGTGTTTGAAATAAATGGTAGAGTAAAGGAGGTAGTTTACGGACACCTAACGTTTGGAAGGATCTCACTGGTCTCACGATTCCTTGGTACTGGATGTGAGGTGTCCTTTGGAAAGCAGTGGGTCTACCAGATTCTATCCATGAAGGATTTTCAGAAATTCTTGCCCTGGGGATTTTAGGAATTTTTAAAGGCTACTGGGTGGTGGAGTAGTCAGGCGTGGCCTGACCCTTGCACGGAGAGGAGGGTCAGGAACACCGTGTATATCAATCTTGTTCTGTACTCTATGG